ATATCAGATGTTTATTAACTAAAACACACAGAAATTTTATAATCAATCTTCAATGGTCTGCAAATAATAAAAGAAAATACATATAATACGTGATTATTTTAGTGTGGATAAACATTTAGACGGTGCCGTGGTATGGATACAAGATTAAGAAAACAAAAGAAAGCCACATGGACAGAAGAAGTAGGATGAATATAGATGCGAAGCTTATCCAAAACAATGTGAGGAAGGTTGGAGTTTGGTCTTAATTTCCTTTAGTATAGACTTATAGTTACCACTAGGAAGCTGTCGTTTCATTTGACTTTGGCTTTCTTTTTCTTCGACCTTTTTATTGAATAAGACTACTAGTCTCTGATTTAATCTAATATGGTTAAATACATGTACTCTATTTTGTGACTATAACCTAACTTTAGTGGATATTTATGTTACTCGTTAAACCAAAGAATGGTCAATTAGTTGATATAGTAATACACAATACTTACATTTCATAATTCACTTTCTATTTTTCTATTAACTGGGAAGAGTTCAAGTCAGATCTTAATTTATCCTAAACATTAAACTAGGCGGCAGCGGCACTAATATCCGATGAGATGACACAAAACATCATTTCTAATGAAAATTCAACTATGAACACAATGAGGTTTTTTTGCGCTAAATCACTATTTCAACTTAAATCTAATATTCAATTCGATTTGATATACTAGTCAATACACTATTACATTAAAAGCTAGAGGAACATATGAGAAGTATGCGAAGGGGTTTTAGATTGTCTTCTTATTCTATTTTCCTTGGATGCTTCCTCATTTTTTTTTTTTTTTGAGAAAAGGCATTGCTTCCTCATTTCTTGATTAACGCCGAGTTCAATAGCTAAATAAGTAATCTTCGTGGGGAAAATAAACTTTTGCATAGTACATACGTTATAATATATCTCATCTGCATATTCAGCTAGTGATTAGTCTCAAAGACTCGCAAATTATTCCATTTAGAGATCAATGATCTTTTCTTTTTCTATAAACCATCAATACGACATGATCATATGAAACAAGCAACCACCGGTCACATACAAATTATTCAATACATAACATTTAATATCCGGTCAATGAATGTTCTTTAATCTGTGTTATTTTCTCCATTCCTTACATTTAACATCTTTAATTAAAAATATGTTTATTAACGTCTTATAAGATTTGGACTTCGTATCATATATCGCTTGCAAACAGCCAAACATACAGAAAAGAACATTGATCAATCTATAACTCACACTCACTTGTATTCTAAATAGTTGTTTTCTTTAAACGTATACTACAGTTGTCTTATCATTACATAATACGTTTATTTTTGGGAGAAGAAAAACAAAAGAGTTATTCGAAATATATGCTATTCTATCTCTCGATGGCTAAAAGATAGGATGGATGTATACAGCTACGTATCAAAATAAGATGTGTTACTTGTTAGAATTCCTTTCACGTCTACGATAAGTCTTTCCTACTCTTTGTAAAAGTTTATTTTGCCTTAATACATAGTCTTGTTGTCTATACATGATTTTCTCCCCGGACGTTTTTTATACGAAAAGGAAAACAATGACCCTCGTATATTTCCAGTAGAAAAGAAAAATAATTATATTTGGTATAAACATAGATCATTGCATGGTTGATATGAAAATGGCTACAAATTAAAAGCAAACTCTTGAAATTCATGTTATCTGCATCACATATGGGGAAAATTAACTTACACCAATACACTATGTACGATTATCGAAACCATTATTTTTTTCAAGTCCATTTGAAGCAGAACGCAAATTCGTCGGTAATAAATTCGCTTACTATTAAAAATGAAACTAGTGCTATTTGATAGTCTTTTTTTTTTTGTTCAAATTTGATTGAGTCTAAAACTGGGCAGGGGTTCCAATAGTTTTGACGACCAATCAGGTGGACTAACGCGTGAGGACTACAACACGTGGGATTCGTCATGGACTCATGTCTATCACCAACTTGGTCCAACTCTATCGGTTTAACTGCCACGTGGTCGGAGCAGAGCAAGTGAACGGTTCCAGAACAAGTATCCATGTGGCGGAGGCCAGCTGGATCGCTGATTGGCTTTTACGTTTATCTACGCCGCTGATTAATCCATTTGGATGGACCTCACCAACTACCTTTGTGTTTAGTTTATTTAATTCTCCACCTCATCTCACCAATTAAAACATTCTAAAATCTTGAAATTTTTGTAAAAGATGCTTGTCCTCGACCAATATTTTCTAATGCTGATTTATTACATATTACAATAAATATTACTCCCGCCGTTTTGAATTAGATGTCATTCTACAGAAAAAAATTCGTTTCAAAATAAATGTCGTTTTAGAGTTTCGAGACATAATTTATTAGGTTTATATGATTATCTATTTTTTTTATTAGTTGAAAAGTGGTTAGGTAATTGATAATTGTATTTTTATATTGAAAATATGTAAAATTAAATATTTCCTTAATCTGTGTGTAAAAACCTATAATGACAAATAAATTGAAACGGAGGGAGTATAAAACAATTTTATGATCAACGAATTTATTAAATTTCTTCCGTTAATATATACTCCCTCCGTAAGGAAATGTATGATGATCTATCTTTTTATTTTGTACATAGATTTATAATGTTTTAGGATATAACTAATGCATTTGTTTTTAAGACTAACACATAAATTTAAAATAAAATTATGAATGGTGAGATTTATTGATAAAATCATAAAGTAATAATTAAAAGCATGTGTATTTTTTTGTAAAAATTAAAGCATGTATTTATTGTTTTTTAATATGTGTGACAAAATTTAAACATGGTACATTTGTATACAAGGGACTGTATAAATGATGATAAATTTCATTTTGTAGATTTAATATCCAAACCTATTGATGTAAATTCATTAGTGAACATTAAATAAAACTATTGTACTAAAGAGCATTAATGACCAAAACTATTGGGTAAGTAATCTGTCAATACGATTTATAGTTATCAAGTACTCAATCTGAATTTAAAAGATTGTTGTTTTAAATTTGTATATATATTAACAAAGATTAAATAATATCTTATTTATTAGTTTTAGTTATATTCCTTTTTCAATAAAGTCCTACTACTCATAAATTTCAGCTTTTAGTTTATTAGTTTTTGAGTAAAAGATATTAATTAAAACTATAACATTATTTTTCTATACAAGTAAATAATTTTATGCTGTATTAATGAATTCTTTTTTATTAGGAGTATTGTATTTTATTAATTTCATTTTAGTTGCATCGTGGAGGCAACACTGGTTTTGGTTTGGTTATATTGTTTGTGGATAAACTCATGATTATCGTCTATAAAATTTTAATCACACCTTGTTTGTAGATAAACTCATGATTACTGTTTATGAAATTTAAATCTTAAAGAGAAAAGAGTTGGAGGAGAGTCAACAAAGGCTGAGCTTACAAAAAAAAAAGAGGTTTCCTAGGAATGAAGCATGTCACCGGCAGCATTATCGGACCATTAACATTCTTCTCTATCTTACTTTATTGATCTTTTTAATCAAGTAACTTAAATGATTAACAATTAATTACATTAATTTGGGCATTTCTGAAATATAATTATAGACTTGAAATAGGTAGATATGATATCCACCACCAAACCAAGCAGCCCCGATATATTTTAAGAGACATATTTTAGCAGATATAATTTAACAGACAACGATACCTGAACAATCAATTTTTATATATAACTGTAATGAATTTTAGCACCATGGATAATGGGGTTTTAGTTAACTTGGACTAGATGGCATGATTCGGATAAAATTTGGTATGGGAACACATCACGCTGCCTAAAACGCTCAATAAATGCCGGAGAGGAGAAGGCATCATCCACTATTATATTTCCATGTGGATGAGATCTTACACCAATAGATAAACATACATATTCTTTGATGTGACATTCTTAAAATTTTATATCTTCCCTACCTCTTCTTTATCCTCTTACTATACTTTTCTGCATTAACTGCATGTGCTTTGGACTTAGTCGTCGGTAACCATATGATACACCAGTCCATGTGATCTCTCCATCATATCATATGCAAAATTCTCGTAATGAACTCTACTATTGACTATTGAGGATGTAATAATTACATGTAAAAAAGTGGTGCCAGTTCGATGTACATATCCGTTGTGGAACATGGAAACATATTCTCATTTTCCTCATATATGTCGGCCTCTTTTTTTGACTTTTACTTGACAAGAACTTGGTAATTGGAATAATACGTAGTACTAATATAATCACTGATGTCATCACAAAACGCTAACGCAGATCCTCCTTATCCACGAAAAAGCCTTCACTTCATTTTCATTTTTTTATACAAGACGTTATCTTAGCACCACCATTCGTATCTTTTTCTTCTAGAAATTATTATGGTAGTTATAAGTGGCACGACATGTTCCTCTTTTAAATCCGCAATTCCCATGCTTATGTTTCCTCTTCCCATGGGAGTGACGTAGCATGATTCTAATCCAGTTTTTATGAACCTTTGTTTTTATAAGCATGCCTATCAATCAAATCAGATGAAAAAAACATGCTTATCTCCTTGAGTTAGTGATTACAAGGGTATCTCCAATCGAATACTATTTTTCCTCTATATTTTTACACAAAAATAGAGTAATATATTATAAAGTGAGCCATTGGAGCAAATTCAGCTATACAATAGAATTTCTCTAATTTATCTAAAATATAGCAGAAAAAATAGTATTCCATTAAATAAAACGTAATTTTTTTGACCAAAACAAAAGAAAACATAAATTTTTTATTTGCTGATTATATCAAGGCCGGCATCATGCTAAATTAAACACCCAAACTATATAATCGGTTTACGAAAATAATTTTAGTGTACCAGTTGCCATAGAAATTTAATCAACATCTAAAGACGTGCAAAAAATGAAAATGGCAGAAAAATATCCAGACGTAGAGAAAAATAAAACTAAAAAGTTGTTTTCGATAAATAACCAAAATATCCATAACATGCAACAACGAAAGTTTGAAAATGAAATTAAAAGTGTTCAACTTTAATAGATAATCAAAAAGATAAACTGGGGTAAAGCTTTAAAACGGCATATAATTTAGCCGAACAGATCGAATCCCATGTCCCCATCAGACTCCTCCGCAGCTTCTTCCTCCACAGCCGCCGCCACAGGAGCTCCACCAGCTTCTCCTGACACCGGTGCAGCCGCAGCAGCAACTGCAAACTTGCTCGGATCCTGACCCACAATATAAAACAGTTAATAAACATTTTCAAAACTAATCAAATACTCAAAAGTAGAAAGGTCTTAACCTTGAGGAACTCCTTCACATTATCAGCCTGAGGGAAAGAATACTCAGTAGCCAAGGCAACAGCAAGAACATTCTTGTACGCATTAACGAACATGTGAGGCGCAGCTGCCAATGTTGGGTAAGAGATGGCGAGGGAAAGAGCGGTCACAAGGGAGACACCAGCTGCAAACTTTTCAACAAGGTCGTCTTCAGTGAGGTTAAGCACCTCAGGGCTAAACACTGAGCCGTTGTCGTAGACTGACTCCACGACGAGGCCGTAAGAGAAGGGCCTGATTCCGAGTTTAGCTAGAAGCGCAGCCTCGGATGAACCAACCTTGTCGCCTTTCTTGATGAGCTCCACGGGGGTTATGATCTCAACCGTGCCTTTGTTGATCTTGGTTGGGATGTTGAGCACTTGGAAGAAAGAGGTCTGCGATGGGTCGAGACCGGTGTTGCCTGGTTGCACAACCACATCGATTGGAGCTACTAAGCCAACACGAGCTGGAGCTCCAACCTGTTTAAAAACAGTGAAAGTTCACATCAATTAACAATACAACCTAAGACATAAATCACACTAGCGATAAGTTACTATTTATTAAAACCAGTGCACATCATTTGTATTCTAATTCAAGCCGAAATGAAAACTTAAACTAACCTATCAATTAGTTGTACAACCTAATTACAAGTTAAACAATCAAATACATAAAGGAAGCTGCATTTGTACATGACTATAATACTCTCAATACAGTCATGAATGTGATTACGTAACAAACACACCATTCAATTTCAAATCCATATGAACACTTTCACTTTCTGAGTTAATAATATCAGAGCAGTGCAGATAAATCATAAACTATCCAACTTAACAATCCATATTGAACCAACATAGATACATAACATCATCAATTAAATAGTCCAGGCTAACTTGCAATTCAAACAATCAAACCACAACAGGTAGCTAACAGATGTATAACCTTGTAACTACTATGATATCAAAATGCAAACTTTATTCCATTTCAAACGAAAATGCAAACTTTCACTATCCAAGCTAAAAATATCTAACCAATAGTATACAGAACAAAAATACTGTCGTGTAATAAAGTACTAAGATTAATCAACAACATAATAACATAGGGCATCAATAAAGTTCGGACAAACCTTGTACTTAGCAACCTCCTCGCTAACTTCCTTCAAATCACCCTTGGTGAAAATCAGCCCAACATTGCCCTGTTACAAAAACCCTAATCAAATCTCCATACAAAACCCAAAATCACAACTCTCACTTACACAAATCAGAACAGAAACAAAAACCTGAAGAAGAGGAATGAGATTAAGAAACCCATCATTCCCAGTCTTGTTAGCATGAAGCTTAACAGATCTCTTCATCATCGTATTCTTCCCCATCAGAACAACCGAATCTCCACGAAGTCCCTTCCTTATATTCTGAAGCTGCGTGGACCCCACGTTATCTGCCGCGACGATGAGGATCTGAGGGAACTCATTCAGAAGCTCACAAAGCTTCGAGTCGTAAACGATCTTCTTCTCCGCCTTTGTTGCTTTCACCGCCATTGATAGTTTTGAATTAAAAGATAAAAAGTGTGAGAGAGAGAGGGCCTAGACGAAGCTCGAGCTCGTACAAGGCGGACAGCGATTTGGAGCTGTCGCTTTAACCTCTGTGAAGGGGGTTTGAGAGTTAGAAGAGAAAAAAAAACTAGAAAAGCTGGGGATGACTATGGAGGAGGTTGAGGGGGGAGGTTTTAGGGTTTATATAGTTATGGGAGGTGGTTAAGTGTTTACTGCGATGACCTAGATCTAACGGTTTAGATTTGTTGGGCTTTAGATGTGGCTCAAATATGATTTTAGCCCAGTATACCATTAAAAATGTATCGTAACTGGGCTTCAAATGTGTTAAAACTATTTTATTGAGGTTAGAGGTGGAGAATCGGTACTTATTCGGGTTTGGTTTAGATCTATTCGAATTTTAAGTTTAAAAATTTTAGTCATATTCAGATATTTAAATTTTTTGATTCGAATTCAGTTTGGATCTTGACGGGTTTGGTTTGGATTAGTATAACCTGTTTAAAACTTTGAAAATACATATATATTTAAAATTTATCAAGATCAAAAAATAAAAGTAATATAATATATAAGTTTGAATTATGTATGTCAAAATACTTAAATTTAATATATAAATTAATCTAATTTGAATATTTGGATAAAGAATCAGATATTTTAACTTTTCTGGTGTTTTGAATATTGTTAACTTATTTTAGATAGTTATTTTTAACTATTTTTATATATTTTCAAATAGTTTGAACAATTTAAAAAAAAATTATACATTTTGGATATTTAATCTAAAAATAGCTAACATATTCAAATATATAAATCTAATTCGGATATATTCAAGTATGATCAGATTATGTTTTGGTTATTTAGATACCAGAATTTTAAACTTATTCAAATATTTAACCAAGTTTTATTTGGGTTTGATATTATTTTTTGGACCGGATTCGGTCCGGTTTTGCAGGTTGTTTTTTTGTCTGCCCTAATTCAAGCTATTCGGTAACTCTAGATTGGTTTATACGTGTTCTTTTGTGGGATGGTTGTATCTTCTGATAGATATTAAGCCATGTTTTACAAGAAGCGTATGTTTTGTTTCAGACTAACTCAATCAAACATCTAAAGACGTGTATCAAAGTATGTCCAGATATGGCCTTGGGAAATCAAAATTTAGTTTACTTTATCACGTCTATATATATACTCCCTCTTCATATCAAGTGTCGTTGTAGAGAAAATTTATTAACTTTATTATATAATTTGTTTTTCAATTGGTTAAAATATGGTTAGGTGTATAGGTAATTATGTTTTTATATAGAAAATATGCAAAATTAATTGTTTTATTAATCTGTGTGTACAACTATAAAATGACACTTATAATTAAACAGAGTGAGTAAATTAAATGGTGGTAACTTGGTCCAGTTGAGACTGATCATGACAACTTTTGAAAAAAATTGATGTTGAAATGTGCATTATGGAACATCATTGTTAAATGTTTATTGGTTATAAGGGGGAGCTGAATCGCTTCTCGCTCTTACCAATGTGGTTTCCATATAATGTAGAATCTTTTGAGCATTATGGTTGATTAAATAGGTATTTATTAAATAATTCGCAAATTTTACATGACAGGTTTAATGTTTCACCTCGTGTAAACGACTGTGTGAGCATAGTTTACTGCTCTGTGATATCTTGGGGAAGAGCGGAAGTTTCGCGTTTTTTTTTTTCCTTCTACGGTTTCTTTTCCAAGGTTCTACTCTATACTGACTACAGTTGTTTTGTTTCTGTGTAGGTTTTGAAAACGGATCACTCGGTTTGTCTTGAGTGTTCAAATAGGTGGAGGCTCGCTTTTTGAAAAAGCATACCATGATGATATATAGGACACTTTTTGAAGTACAGTAAAACCTTTATAAATTAATAATGCTGGGACTTTGAAATTTTATTAATTTATAGAGATATTAATTTACGAAAGTTTCCTTATTTAGATTTTAATTTATTTTTTCCATTTTTATTTATAAAATAAAATAAAATATTTGATTTTAGCAAATGTACATTATTTAAGTTTTAGAAATTTGACCTTTATATTGTTTTATTATCTTATTTGGTGTATATTTTTATGTTTCATAGAATTGTTACATGGTTTTCGATATAATTTAACTAAATATTATCAAAATATATTCAAATGTTTAAAAATTAAAAGTATTTTTATAGTAAATATAAAAGCCCTAACTAAATATTATCAAAATATATTGAAATGTTTAAAAAAATAAAAGTATTTTTATAGTAAATATAAAACCAATAAGATAATGTTAGATTGTATTTATATAAAATTATATATAGTTAGATTATTAATTTATGATTTTAGTGGGATCATATATTTACATGGCAGTTTTAAAAATATTATTATCTTATTATTTTATCGATTTGTGTGATATTTTACACCGGCCCAAGTAGGGACTGGTAAAATTTATTAATTTATAGAGATTATTAATTTATCGAGTATTAATTTATAGAGGTTCTACTGTATGAACCATGATTGTAAATGTTATGGTATACTCCACTCTTACAATTTGGAATTTATGATATAAGAACATTTTATCGTTTCATTGGCTATCTAAATGTTCTAGTCACGTTAATTTATTGATCATTGCATGTTTAAATCATATCTCTTCTTTGTTTTAGTTTTTTTTCTGGTCTCCTAAGTGTTTATTAGTATTAAACTTATTTTGACCGTTTTACAACGAGAAAAACTGACTAGAAACCTTCTTTAAACACATGGTTGAAAGTGACCACATACATATTTAGTTAAGCTACATAACATTTTTTTTTTGACAAAGAAACCTTTTTAACAGTACTCGCTCTGAGTCCATCTAGTTATCCCATGGTGGCAACTGATTAAGATGGAAGTCGTGTAATATGGTGCCTGCGTTGGACAGGTCCGGCACATGACACATCCAAAATAAACCACTGTTTAGGATCCAAAAACTTGTGTTAAAAAAAAAGGATCCAAAAACTTTTGTAGTATTTTTAGACTTAAATTTTAATTTTTTATTTTGCAAAAGGAAAATAGTCTATTTTAAAATTGAAATAGAGTTTCTACTAGATGCCGACCCCGTCGTTGGGAACAAAATGAAAAAAAAAAAAAACATAATCTCTGGTCATATTAAGATGGTATACCAAAAAAAATATTTGGAGTTTGTTAAATAAGAAATTAGAAATGGCATACCTTCCATTTTTTTACAAAAGAAAAAAATCAATAAAGATTCATTACGTAAAATGTGTGTCACTGCTATAAAATTCAGCCTATTTTCCAGACAATTTGGAATAAAAATAATTTATAACATTTGGATAGCATGATTATATATAATGATTTCTCACATAAAAAAAATTAGAATGCGCTCCGAAAGCTATGTGACGCATGAAATCATTTGACACTTTTAATCGAGCACTTCTTGAAATACCAACCATTAGTGGATTGGATGTGATAATGACAATAAAAAAGTGCAGGTATGGAAAAGAGAGAAAATGTTATATACATACGGCCTCTAAATGTTATCTACTTAAGCGGAAAAAGTAATTACAATTAGGCATATTCCTTTTTTTTTGAAAATTACATATACTCTTATTTCAACCAAGTTTAAACAGGAAAGTGGTGCCACAGACATTGCCACAATCTAATTCTTAAACCTATTTTCAGAAGAAAAAAATATTTAAATGGAAAGCAATCCAATACTTAAGGGGAAGATTAGTTGGTGGGATCGTATTTTGCAAGCAGGTGTGATAGATATGATAAATATAACAAAAAGGTCCTTTCATTTATAGCATGTTTTTGACCCCAAGAAAATCAAAATTTTATTTCCAAACTTTTGAATTGACTAAGGGACCCCTTGAGAAAGAAAACAATCACAGAGTTAAATAGTTGAGATACAAACAATACAGAAGAAGAGAGTTTTTTTTTCTGTCATTTCTTTGTCTTAAGGTTCAGAAATGTGACATCCTCCTCAATTCTCAAAGTTTTTCTTTTATAAATGTAGTTTACATCTTTATCACTTGGTTTGTATAATTTTGCAGTGGAGAAGATTTTGAAGATGTCGATTAAAGAAACAGAAGAAGGAATACCGGAGGATGAGGTTGAACAGGGAGGAAGCATGAAGAGCTTCCTGTGGCATGGTGGTTCTGTTTATGATGCTTGGTTTAGCTGTGCATCAAACCAGGTATTGGATCAATCAATTTTACACAACAAACCGATAAATGTGTGTTATTTTGCAAGGATTAAAATAATTATAATATGTTGGCAGGTTGCTCAAGTTCTATTGACACTGCCTTATTCATTTTCACAAATGGGAATGGCATCAGGTGTAATTCTGCAGATTTTCTATGGTTTTATGGGAAGCTGGACAGCTTACCTCATCAGTGTTCTCTACGTTGAGTACAGAACTCGAAAAGAGAAACAGAATGTTAACTTTAACAACCATGTCATTCAGGTCACACTACCAAATCTCTTATAGATTCAGTCTCCACCATAAGATCTTTAATACCCAACTATACTGATATATATATATCGTTAAAACACTAAGTGCAGTGGTTCGAAGTGTTAGATGGTCTGCTTGGTCCATATTGGAAAGCAATAGGGTTAACATTCAACTGCACATTTCTCCTCTTTGGTTCTGTTATTCAACTCATCGCATGTGCAAGGTTGGTTTAGCTATTATTTGCCAGTGTATTCATTATTGAATAATATAGTATTGTTTTTGTGTGTGTATTAATCGTGTAATAACAATAATGAACAGTAACATATATTATATAAACGACAAGCTGGACAAGAGGACATGGACTTACATATTCGGAGCGTGTTGTGCAACCACAGTGTTTATCCCATCGTTTCACAACTACAGGATATGGTCCTTTCTCGGTCTTGCCATGACCACTTACACCGCTTGGTACCTTACCATCGCAGCTCTAGTCCACGGCCAGGTCGAAGGAGTGACTCATTCCGCTCCAACTAAGCCTGTTCTGTATTTCACAGGAGCCACTAACATATTGTACACTTTTGGTGGCCACGCTGTTACAGTGTGAGTACATGTTTCTATGTCTCCACTGTTTGTTTACGTTTTATTTGGCTTTACATTTACATGTTGATAATGTAATTGTAGGGAGATAATGCATGCAATGTGGAGGCCTAGAAAGTTCAAGTACATATACCTAATGGCTACACTTTATGTCTTCACCTTAACCATACCATCAGCTGCTTCCGTCTACTGGGCCTTTGGAGATGAGCTTCTCACACATGCTAATGCCTTCTCCCTATTTCCTAGCTCACCATGGCGCGACACTGCAGTTGTTCTCATGCTCATCCACCAGGTAGGTCGGCACATTTTTAAGTTTGAGTTGTAACTGTTGTTTTAGTAAGTAAGAAGTTCTGAACCCGTATGTCTATACATCTCCATGGAGTGTTTTAAAGAGTAGACTCATACAATGATTTGAACCTATTCTAGTTAAGATTTTTAACCCAAATTATTTACTCATTAGGTCAACTTCTCGTTGGCAATGTGGTAAGATATTTGTTTGGTATGTTACATAAATATTTCTGTGATGCAGTTTATAATGTGACTGAAACCTATATATGATTTAGATTCTTAATTAACCGAATAATTTTATCCATGAGGTCAAACTCTTCATTGGTAATGTGATAAGTTATTTTGTTTGGTATGTAATTTAATAATTTCTGTGATGCAGTTTATAACGTTCGGGTTCGCATGCACACCGCTATATTTCGTGTGGGAGAAAGTAATCGGAATGCACGACACAAATAGCATTTTATTACGAGCCATCACAAGGTTACCTGTGGTGATTCCAATATGGTTCTTAGCCATAATCTTTCCTTTCTTTGGTCCAATTAACTCAGCTGTTGGTGCACTCCTAGTCACATTCACCGTCTACATCATCCCGTCACTAGCTCACATCCTCACTTACCGCTCTGCTTCTTCCCGTGAAAAGGCTGCCGAGAACCCACCCGCGGTGATTGGCGGTTGGAGAGGTGCGTTTGTGGTGAACGTTGTGGTGGTGGTTTGGGTGTTTGTGGTTGGTTTCGGCTTAGGAGGATGGGCAAGTATGACTAATTTCATTAAACAAGTTGATACTTTTGGCCTCTTTGCTAAGTGTTATCAATGTCCTCCTCATCACTGATGTTTGATCTTTGAAAGGACAAGGGAGTGTTTATGAGTCAATAAACAAATTATTGGACTTCTTATTGAACATCTTAAGTATTACAATTGTTTTTGTTAGTTTGAAAAACTTTTACTCATTCTTTCATGTATTAATCTATATAACCTTTTCATATATATAATTATATCATGTTTGGTATTGGAGCTTAGTGGTTCCATTTGATAAATAAGAAACAAAAACTACTCCAAAATGTGGAAAGACTACTCCCTGAGGTTATAGCCAAGCTTTATCAGAAGCTTTTGTTTGGATGTTTACCAAACATGGCATTAAAAAAAATACATGGCATTAAAAACAAAATTTATCAGAGTTTATCACGTCTATACAATTTTAATGTAACTAGTGTGGTATCCCACAAGTTAAATTGACAAGTAATATTATTTGGCCACATCTAATAAACGTTATTATTCCCATGTGAAAGAATATGAGGACCAATGATATGATTTGATTCAAGGCCTTTACTTTTTTTTTTCTGTTTTTCCCTTTTTATATGTTCTGCAATCATTTTTGATATTTATCATCTTTTTTTTTTCTGGATAAAGTACGTTAAATTATAAATACTAGTGAATTTCTTTTTTAAACCAATCTTTGGAGGGTCCATTTAGGAGAAGGCTAGCTTTTAAAAAAGAAGAGCATGCTCATGTATGTAGGACACTTTTTATATTTGTTGTCCTCCTTAACGAACACTCCTGAGATTCGCTTCATCAAACGTGATATTCCTTTCTTTCTTTTTCTTTTTTTTTTGTCTTTTTGGATTGCATTTGCAAGTATTAAAAAGATTTAACTAAAGTTAGTTCACGTATTATTCAGACACTACAAGGTCAATGTGTCGTTACATTGAGTATGTGCTTAGCTTGCTGTATTACAAAAGCAAAGATTGAGCGTCAACGAGTGGCATGTACTGTGAAGATCGTAATGTGTGTGTGTGTTGGAGTTTAGAACAAGTTACTTAGAGCAGCACCATTGGGTAAAGATCCAATTGAGTTTCTGACAATCAGTTTTGTTATTATTTCAAAACAAAAAAACTAAAAAAAAACCAATAATAAAAAGTTAATACATGAAAAAAGATTTCTCAAATGAAAGTAGGAGTTTCTTGACGGTAATACATCTCTCTATCTTTCTTTTTTTTCCTATTTTGTTTTTATTTTAATGGATAGAAAATGTCCACAAAATTGCCACTAATCATGCTTTTAGTTGTGTCTAGAAAACAAAAGGCCTTACAAAATTAATTTTCTTTATTTCCTACATTGCCAATACATACTAAAATACATATGCAAACAAATCTTCCAAACTAAGTTTTAGTTTTCTGAACGTGTGTAAATAAAAAAATTGAAGAGTCTTTTACCATTTTTATACCAAACTAGATCTACTTAATAAGAAATAACTACAAAGGAAAAAAATCTACAAAATTACCTCCATATAGATTCTAAACATACTCCTAAAATAAAATATTTATATTTTAATATTGATTGTGATTAGTGATATAGCTGTAAAAACTTCTCTCTGTGTTGCCCTTGTCGCTAATAGAAGCTGGTGGTTGATGTTGTTTAGGCTTACTTTGTGATTGAAAGTTATCTTCTTTGCATAGGTTTTGAAAAGTGATCACTTTTGGTTTGCTTTGATTTCAAGAAACAACACAGAGACTTAAACCTAACAGCTTTTCCTCTTTGAGTTTCTTTAGGAGTCAGAGAGAAGGATAAGGGATAGTACAAAATGGCGCCTAGAGGAAGAAGAAAGGTAAAACTTTTTTTACTGTCTTTCAGAGTTGGTATCTCTCTATTGTCTCTAGGGGGCTGCTTGCTTAAGTTGGTATCTCTTTTTTTTGGGCAGAAGGCTGGATTGATGCGGGAGGACGCAGCAAGAGATGCCATGAGAGCATATGGATTTGAGGAGGGTGTTATCAAGGTGTGTATCAAGGAATTGCTACAGGTAATAATGCCCATCGGTTTTCAGTGTCTCCATATTTTTTTACTTCCTTGAAAGTGTTTCGTTTTGAAAGTGACGCTGCTTCACTCTCTTTGGACTATAGTTGTATGGCAATACAGGATGGTTTCTGATTGAAGAGTTTAGTTACTCTGTGCTTCTTAATAAATGCCTTGAAAAGCAAGGAGAACAAGAGAATAATGTTGCTGAAGAGGAAGAAGAAATGGCTGAGCAACAAAATGAAGAGATGGCTCAGGAAGAACAAAATGAAGAGATGGCTCGGGAAGAAGAAGAAGAAGAAGAAAAAGAAGAAATGGCTCAGGAACAAAATGAAGAGATGGCTCAGGAAGAAGAAGAACCAATGGCTCTGGAAGAAGAAGAAGAACAAATGGCTCAGGAAGAAGAAGAAGAAGAAGAACCAATGGCTCAGGAAGAAGAAGAAGAACCAATGGCTCTGGAAGAAGAAGAAAAACCAATGGCTCAGGAAGAAGAAGAAGAACCAATGGCTCAGGAAGAAGAAGAGGTGTTTTGTTTCTTTCTACTATTTCTCTATCTTTCTCCTTAAAGTATCTTTTATACATAACTAAACTTGTTACCTAAACCCTTGCTCACCTTGAGATTAGTTATCAACTATCTGAGACTGATGACTAGTTTCTTGAACTTTGATTTACCCATTATGCTACTTAACCTTGCATCATGATCTATCTTTTATACTACAGGAGCAGGAGCAGGAGCAGGAGCAGCAGGTTGAGGATGAAAGAGACAATGTGGGTAGCAACTCAACATCTTTAGTGGGATGTGGTGCGGAGGCAGGTACACAAACTTGCCAAGCTGATGCATCACCAGTAGCTGCTCAGTCATCAAATTCTACACACCGTTCTGTTGGAGGTAACAAACTCATCCCCATAAACATCTCAACACATGAATCATTCTTCTTTAATGTTTTTGTAATAATCATTTTTCAGGGGCCAGGAGTTCTGGATGTGGATGGCTAAGTGATGAGGAGGAGACAGATCCAGGTGAGGATAGTGAGAATGAGATGATCCAGCTGACTCCAGAACCACTATGTGAAGAACTTCAAGAGCTTCTCAACGAAGTACATGGAGAGAAGAAGAGGAAGAGACCCATGCACGAGATGAGCTCATTTAACTATCATCACTGAAGTAAAGAAGCAGGACTAAAAGAGTAACTCTAGTATTGGCAGTAAAAAACGGCTAAAGAACCCATCTTTATATCTTTGTGTGGTGGTGTCTTCTTGAGCTATTGGTTTAAAACTGAGTAGTATTAGTTTGTGGTATAACTTATGCTAAACTCACATATCAGAAAAATAAAATAAAAAGTCTATCCAAACTTAACTCTGTTTAATTAAGGTTGAAGACCTTATACACATTCTTTCATGTTTTAAGCTATAACCTTTTCACATATAAAATTATTTCATGTTTGGTGCTGGAGCTTAGTGGTTCCATTTGATAAACAAGAAACAAGAACAACTCCAAAATGTTAAAAGACACTCCCTGAGGTTATAAGCCAAGCTTTATCAGCAGCTTTTGTTTGGATGGTACCAAACATGGCATTAATAAAACAGAGTTAATTAGAGTTTAACATGTCTATACAATTTTAATGCAACTAGTGTGGTAGTATCCCACATGTTGACAAATAATATCATTTGACCACATCTAATAAACGTTATTATTGACATGCGAAAGGATATGAGAACCAATGATACGGTTTGAGTAAAGCCCTTTACTTTTTACTTTTTTTTATATGTTCTTCAATCATTTTTATCCACTTTTCTGGATAAAGTTGGTTATAGTATAAACACTAGTGAATTTCTTTCAGAAACCAATCTATGGAGGGTCCAGTTAGTAGAATGCTTGCTTTAAAAAAAGAAGAACATGATCATGTATATAAGACACTTTTTGAATTTGTTTTCCTCCTTAACGAACACTCCTGACATTTGTTTTCTTTATTTTTCATCAACGTGATAATCTTTTTTTTTTTCTCAATTCGGACAATAATATAATAAAAGTATATATGAAACATGACATTAAGAAAGCCAAAACAGACTATAGAAAAACAATCTAACTTGTTAAACAATATAATATGGTAGATACGACTATAAGAAAAATCAATAGTGAAGTCCATAATAAAATTTAGTTGGATGTTGTCAACACATTAATATCAGAATGATCTTATTCCACGTATTTTAAAAGTCGAACTGTTTCCCGCATTAGAGTGGACTGCAGGCATTTTCATTATTTATACGAATTCTCCAAAGATATGTCTTTTTCTTTGATTAAATCAGTTACGAAAAAAAAATATTAAAAATATTTGTTTTACAATTCGTTGAACAATCTGCAGTAACCAGGATCAAAGCAAAACAGATATATTTCCAATTACAAAAGTTGGAGGAAAATGAAAATATTCCTGAAAATTTTGAAAGAAACAACTATAGTACTATAAAACAAGAAAAATGAAGTTATTGGGAAACAAATTCCAACGTCAAAGTCATCGGCAAATTTTCTCTTTTTCCTTTTTTTCTCCCCGTGACCACCTACTCGGCTAGGGGTATGTATCTAATTATCTAAACCCTTTTTAACATCTCTAATTATGGAAAAACTAAAAAAATAATGGCCAAATTTACATGATGGGTAAGTAGTTATTAGTTAATAGGGAAAGTAGTTTGACTGTTGACAAAAATAAAAGGAAAGCAGTTGACCAAAAACATATACTAGTTCTTAATTGTTACATGACCGGTGTTTTGATATTTTGTTTTTCCTTCACCTCGTGCACACGCTTCTGACAGACAAAGCTATTGACGGCGCTCTCTCTTCCCGTTTTGGATTTTTGGGCTCCAAAACTTCCTCCATGACCGACGTAAGCTCTCTCTCTATTCGTCATTGCCGCTAAAATAATAAGCTGGTTGTTTTGCTGTTTTGGCTTCTTTGGGATTGAAAGTTACTGTTACTGCTTTATAATTTGCACAAGTTTTAATTTTTATTCACAAGTTTTTATTGTCTTGAATACTGTTATTTCATTGCATATGGCCGACCCTAAGATCTTGGGATTAGACTATTTAGTAAGAGTTTTAATTTAAAAAAATTCTACAAATTTGGAGTTAATTGTTAGTAATTTTTTTAAAAAAATATTGGAGGTCATAAACCAATGCTTGATTGAGCTATGCTCAGAACCGGTTCTGTGTGCATATGTTTTGAAAAGTGACCACTTTTGATTTGCATTCGTTTGATTTGATTTAAGAACCACTCAGAGACTGAAACCTAACAGCTTTTCTCTTTGAATTTTCTTCAGAGGGATATAGTACAAATGGCGCCTAGAGGAAGAAGAAAGGTAAGGGTTGTACTGTCTTACAGAGTTTGAACATATGGTTGTTTGGGACTTTGGAAGAGAGTAGGAGATGCTTTAGAACTCATTCTTAGCTTCTGCTTTGTATCTTGTGTCCCTTTTTTGCAGAATCAAACAGAACAAGACAATAATGTGGCTGGAGAAGAAGAAATGGCTGAGGAACAAAACGAAGACATGGATCAGGAAGAACAAGAAGAAGAAGAAGAAAACATAGAGATTATGGACTTATCACCATCAACTTTTCCATTAGGAGAAGTGATAGATTCTGCATCACCAATATGGGATTATGCATACCATTCTGCTGGAGGTAACAAACTCGTAGAAATAAACATCTCAACGTTTATGTTGAAATTATTCTTCTTAATGTTGTAATAATCATTCTTCAGGGGAGGAGAGATTTGGATGGGTAAGTGATGAGGAGGAGACTGATCCAGATGAGGGCAGTGTTGTTGATGAGGATGAAGATGAAATGATCCAGCTGACTCCACAACCGCTATGTGAAGAACTTAAAGAGCTGATCAGAGAAGTACGTGGAGGAGAGAAGAAGAGGACGAGACCCACAAGATGGGACACATAAAGAGTCATGACCTCTTGTAGCTGTCATTGAAATAAAAAAAGCTAAGAAGTATGACTAAAATAGTAACTAGTATGGGCTTCTAAAACAGTTAAAGAACAAATCTTTAAATCTTTTTATGGTTCTTTCTTGAGCTATTGATTAAAACTGAATATTAGTTTGTGATGCAATTTATGCTTAAGTGGACTTTGTATATTATAGTCACTCACATATCATTAGTGTGAGTGGAAAAACTCATTAATCTAAGGCAAAAGACCAAAAGTAATCCAAAGTTAAGCCAATGTAAAAGAAGGACCAAATCTATGTTCTTCTAACAAAATCAACCCAACTTAAATTTTTTGTTTTTTTAAAGTTGATTATTTTTACAGTTACTACTTACTAATAACTTATTTTTCTCCATAAATTTTTTTATTAAGTATCTCCATTGTTTTAATAATTTCGAGTTTTCAGATATCTATTTAGGTTTGACTCAAGTTTTTAGATCTTCGGTTAATAATGTTCATCTTGAATTTTTAAATTCATTTTAGATTTGGTACTTGCAATTTCGAATATTTCTAAATATAATTTACAATAAACATGAAAACGTATATTTAAATTATTTATTTAGTTTCAAAATTATTTTGGATTCTCCAATATGTTTTTTTTCGGGTTATTCAGATTTTCATGGAATATGTATTCAAATCTAAATTGAATTTAGATATTACTCAAAACCTAAAATACCATCGGTACAAGATCTATTCATTTATTTCTTACAACTGGACCGGTTTCGTGTGGTTCGAATTTCAATTGATTTACCCTAAAGATTTTCAACTATTTTCACTCCATCACCATTTAGTGCTATTCTAACTTGTATGACGACTAGACTAACACACACATTAATTCATTTACTCAGAAAACTTAAAAGTGAGCATCTTTTCCCCCGATGCATGCATTTGAGGCTGAAGAAGAAAGGATTTTGAGAGAAAACCTTTGAAGTTTCAAAAAAAATCTTCTAGGTCTCTCTAAACAAAAAGTCCGTCACTTTCACTATCTCTGTCACTCAGATTCTCCCTCTCTTCTCCTCCAAAAGTCTTGCGTTCGTCTCCGGTTAACTGGGTCAAACTCCTCCGTCGATTCTGAGGTATTTCGCCTTAACCCAAGTCTCTCTCTTTCGGTGTTTTTTCCGAGGAAACAATGTGGATCATATTAGGGTTTTTCTCCGTTCTGGGTTTAAGGGTTTTTACATGTAGCTTTCACTCGGCGATAAAAGTTTGGAGATTTCGTGTTTTCTGCCTTCGATTTAGTGGAAAGGAGCATAAAGGTTGTTCCTTTAGCAGTATTTCGAAGTTTTTACTTATAAAATTGTGTTTTTATTTTTGTGGGTTTCAAATGTAGCTTTTCTCTCGGTGTCAAAGTTTGGAGATTTCGTGTTTTCTGCTTTCGATTTAGTGGAAAACCGCTTAAAGTTTCTTCCTTTAACGATATTTCGAAGATTTTCCTTCAAAAATTGGGTTTTTTTTTTTTACTTAGAGATTTGTGGGTTTTAGTGGGGTTTGATGATGTCTTTGTTTCTCTGTTTGGTTGATCTGTTAAGTGCTCTAACTTAACATCTCTCGCTGTTGTCTGTAATTCAGGTTTTTAGGGTTTTGTCAATGGAAGAAGCGTCGTCTTCTTCGTCAGATATTCTAGAAGCAGAGATTGTTGGAATCTCATTCTCTCTTGCTGCTCACAGAGAAATCGTAAGTGTTTTCCTCTCTGGAGACTACATCCCATTTTGTTTGGAGCTGTTGCATGTATGGCTTTGTTTAGTTCCAAGTTATAATGTTCCACAGAAGATGTAAGGAATACGAGTAGCCAAAAACCTTTCTATGTTTTGGTTAAGTTTGCACCAAGTTTTGAAGTTCAGTATGAAGTGAGCTCAGCTCTGTTGTATAATGCTGAAAGCTAGAGTGATTTTTCTTTCTTGCAGCGTCTAGCATCCATTAGTGACGCTGGGATCAACCATGTCAGCCAACTCTCTAACTCATTCTTGGGGTTACCTCTGGAGTTTGGTAAATGTGAGGCTTGCGGTGCCACAGAGCCAGATAAATGTGAAGGTAGTAAACTAGTTCCGTTTTTTTGCTTATCTTTATGTTCTTACATTAGTTGCCAAAATTCAGACATTGATGATGTTTTGTTTCTATATTTTCAGGTCATTTTGGGTATATTCATCTCCCAGTGCCGATATACCATCCCTCTCATGTTAGTGAGTTGAAACAGATGCTTAACCTTCTCTGCTTGAAGTGTCTGAAGATAAAGAAGATTAAGGTATACCTCATTGAGTTTTTTTTTTCCCTCCAAATTATCTTATTGGTGATTCTCTCATGTAATTATTGGTGTTCACCTCTCTGATTACAGAGCACAAATTCTGGGCTTGCGGAGCGTTTACTTGGCGTCTGTTGTGAGGTCAGTAATGCCATTCACTTTCTGATTGTTTCCTGTCACCTTTCTATAGTCAATTGTCTAAGATTTTCTTCAACTAGTTGTATGTAAGAAAACGTGTTAATTCATATCTATAATAGTTATTCTGCGTTTGTGGATCTATTCCATGAGTGTAACATTAATTTATACTTTCTAAAAGTGGTGATTGTTGGTATTTTGTTGCACCATGGATTTTTAATGACTGGTTACTCTATTAGGAAGCTGCGAACATCACCATCAAAGATAAAACATCAGATGGTGCCTCATATCTGCAGTTGAAGGTTCCGTCTAGAACAAGACTGCATGAGGGCTTCTGGAATTTCCTGGAAAGATATGGTTACCGCTATGGAAGCGACCATACCCGGCCCCTGCTAGCAAGAGAGGTTTGTTCTTAAAGTACTTTTTGTAAGATTTTTCTATAAGTTTAAGTTTTTTTTTGGGTATAATGGCTTCTTGTCGAATTAGTTAACAATGTTACATACAAGCATGTTAAACTTAATAACTATACTTTTGAATTCTTGTGCGAATGTTTGAGCAGAAGAAGCAATTAGTATACATTTGTAAATCTCTGCAAGGCGTCAATGGCTATGTTATGTGATCTTATAGTTATACTGGATCTTGTAGGGTTTTATGTCAAAGGCATTCTTACGTTCTGGAAACTAATGATTACCTTCTGTGTTTGTCCTTTTCTATATGTTGGGAAAACAAACAGGTAAAGGAAATTTTGAGAAAGATTCCAGAAGAAACAAGAAAGAAGCTCACAGCAAAGGGACATATTCCTCAAGAAGGTTACATATTAGAATATCTCCCAGTCCCGCCTAATTGTTTGTCAGTGCCAGAAGTTACTGATGGTTCCAGCTCCATGGCAGTGGTAAGGCCGTTGAAACTATAATTCTTTCTTCAGTTCATTGACTGTTTTGGCTTGATTGCGAACTAACCCTGCATGTATGTCATTCTTGCTTTCAGGATCCGTCTAGAATTGAGTTAAAAGATGTTCTCAGGAAAGTGGTGGCGATAAATAACTCTAGGTCTGGCGAGACCAACTTTGAGTCACATAGAGCTGAAGCCAATGAGATGTTTAGAGTGGTGGATACCTATCTTCAGGTGAGGGGCACTGCGAAGCCGACAAGAAACATAGATATGAGATTTGGGGTGTCCAAGATCTCGGACAGCTCTTCCTCAAAAGCCTGGACAGAAAAGATGAGAACACTTTTCATTCGAAAAGGTTCAGGGTTCTCTTCTCGCAGCGTCATCACTGGAGATGCTTTCAGGAATGTGAATGAGGTAGGGATCCCAATGGAAATTGCTCATCGGATCACATTTGAGGAGAGAGTTAGTGTCCACAACATAGGATATCTACAAGAGTTAGTGGACAACAAGATGTGCTTGAGCTATACCCAAGGTTCGACGACCTATTCTCTGAGGGATGGTTCCAAGGGGCACACAGTTCTTAAACCCGGGCAGATTGTTCATCGCAGGGTCATGGATGGGGATGTGGTGTTTATCAACCGTCCTCCCACAACTCATAAGCATTCTCTGCAAGCACTTCGGGTCTATGTGCATGAAGACAACACGGTGAAGATTAATCCCCTGATGTGTGGCCCTCTCAGTGCTGATTTTGATGGGGATTGTGTCCATCTGTTCTACCCACAGTCTCTCACCGCTAAGGCAGAGGTCCTGGAGCTCTTTTCAGTGGATAAGCAACTTCGTAGCTCACATACTGGACAGCTGATTCTGCAGCTGGGTTTAGACTCTTTGCTTTCTCTGAGGGTTATGATGGAGCAGTTGTTTCTGGACAAACCATCTGCTCAACAGTTAGCAATGTATGGCTCTCGATCTCTTGCACCACCAGCTGTGAAGTCCAGTAAATCTGGCCCTGCTTGGACTTTTTTTCAGATCATGCAGCTTGCCTTTCCTGAGCGTCTTAGTTGCAAAGGGGACGGGTTCATAATTGATGGAAGTGATTTGCTGTCTTTTGATTTTGGGGCTGAAGCGTTGGCGTCTATCATCAATGGGATTGTAACCGCAATCATGGCAGAGAAGGGTCCAAAGGAAGCATTGGGATTCTTTGATACACTGCAGCCGCTATTGATGGAACATCTAGATCCTCATGGATTTAGTTTAAGTTTGGAAGACTTATCCATGTCTAGGGAAGACATGGGAGTTATTCACAATCTCATCATCCGGGAGATTTCTCCTATGGTGTCTCAGTTGAGACTATCATATGAAGATGAATTGCAACTAGAGAACAGCATCCACAAAGTGAAGGAAGTGGCTGCTAATTTTATGCTGAAGTCTTATTCGATGAGGAACTTGATTGACATCAAGAGCAACTCAGCAATAAACAAGCTGGTGCAGCAGATTGGCTTCCTGGGTCTTCAGCTTTCAGACAAAAAGAAGTTGTACACGAAGACTCTGGTGGAAGACATGGCTCAGTTTCATAAGAAAAAGTATGTCAGTATGTCTTCCTCTGGAGATTTTGGAATTGTCAAAGGCTGCTTCTTTCACGGACTGGATCCTTATGAAGAGATGACTCATTCAGTTGCCGCAAGGGAGGTCATTGTTCGCTCATCAAGGGGGTTAGCTGAGCCTGGGACACTCTTCAAGAACCTTATGGCTGTTCTACGGGACATAGTCATCACCAACGATGGAACTGTAAGAAATACATGCAGTAACTCCATCGTGCAGTTCAAGTATGAGCTGGGTTCTGACAGTGAGAATCAAGGTTTATTTGAAGCGGGAGATCCTGTTGGGGTATTAGCAGCTACCGCTATGTCAAATCCTGCCTACAAAGCGGTGCTTGATTCTTCCCCAAATAGCAATTCTTCATGGGAGCTAATGAAGGTAGATTGTTCTCGGTTCTGTCTCCTCAATAAAGCTTTGTTCTTCTGTATTGTTGTATTCTTACTGTTTTCTGTTTTTGTTCTTTTCCCAGGAAGTTCTACTCTGCAAAGTCAACTTCCAAAACACTACCAATGATCGGCGTGTCATTCTTTATCTGAATGAATGCCGTTGTGGGAAAAAGTACTGTCAGGAAAATGCTGCATACACAGTGAGGAACAAGCTGAAGAAAATTAGTCTGAAAGATACTGCAGTGGAGTTTCTAGTCGAGTAAGTATTGGTCTTAGTAAATTTTGTTGTTCACTTTAGTGTTTATCTTTTGCTTTTACTTATCCTCTTTGCATTTGCCTATGTCTTTACTTGCATGCAGATACAGAAAGCAACAAGCGATTTCAGAGATTTTTGGAATGGATATATGCCTACATGGTCATGTTCATCTTAATAAGGTTTGACTTCTAGTATCTGTACTGTTAAATCTATCTGGAGTTCCACCTGCCATTGAAATACTTTGTTCCTAATGATCCTTTTTAATTCTTGCTTGTAATTGGTATTTTGGTTTACTAGACATTGTTGGAAGGGTGGAACATCAGCATGCAGGACATACTTCAAAGGTGTGAGGATGCAATCAACTCACTAGTTCAAAAGAAGAAGAAGAAAGCTGAGGACTTTAAGAGAATGAATTTGTCTGTCAGGTATGTTCATAATATTCTTTTCCTATGGATGTCGCCTCTGGTTGAATGAATTGATGTTGGTTTCTAGAGTACTAGTTCTTTCTGTCCATTATCTTTGTTCTCTGTCTTATTCTGTATACTTGTGTAGCTTCATAGTTTTTGTAGTGTGATGATACTTGTTGTACCTCGTCTCTGGTGAATATATTGATGTTGATTTCTAGTTACATTCTTTCTGTTCATCTTATTATAACTTTTGTAGTCTGATTATGCTTAACTTCTTCTCGAATGAACAGTGAGTGCTGCACTTTCCGAGGTCCAGGCGAGAGCAAAGATTCTGATATGCCATGCTTGATGTTTTCCTCCTACAATGCCACTGATCCTGATCTAGAAAGGACTCTGGATGTTCTCTGCAATACAATATACCCAGTTCTGCTAGAAACAGTGATCAAAGGTACTTGAATAAGGCTTTCATTACAACTGTAAATTGCTGTAATACTATTGATTTATCAAACGTGGTATAGTCTTCCTTTGAAATCTTTCTAGTTAGATTTATTGTCTGGCGGATAAAAGAATTAAAAGCAATCCCTCAACTAGTCTGAATGAGTTGTCTTCACATTGTAGTTGTGCTATCAAGCTTATGTTACAGTAGACTAATATTTTTTTTATAATACTTCTGTCTCTAGGTGATCCACGGATTGCCTCAGCAAATATAATCTGGAATAGTCCAGAAACGACAACCTGGATCCGGAATCGTCATGGATCCCGCCGAGGGGAATGGGTATTGGATGTCACCGTTGAAAAATCTGATGTCAAGCAAAGTGGTGATGCATGGAGGGTTGTGATTGACTCATGTCTTTCAGTGCTTCATCTAATAGACACAAAACGGTCAATCCCATATTCCATAAAGCAAGTTCAAGAATTGCTTGGTTTGTCCTGCGCCTTTGAGCAAGCTGTTCAGGTACTTAAAATCATGATACTTCTGTCATATTTTTTCATAGTTTGTATGAGGAAGTCAAATGTAATATTTTGATTTGTTTTGCAGCGTCTCTCAGCTTCAGTGAGAAAGGTCTCCAAAGGAGTTCTGAAAGAACACATCATTCTCGTGGCAAACAACATGACTTGTTCAGGGGATATGCTAGGTTTCAACTCTGGTGGTTATAAGGCTTTGACGCGATCCTTGAACATCAAGGCTCCATTCACAGAAGCAACTCTTATTGTTAGTTTTCCGATTCTTTAATGTCAAATTACAAATTATTTTCTAAGACTACATATACTGGCCATCCATACTAACATTAGTTACTTCTTATGCTTTTAGGCGCCACGGAAGTGTTTCGAGAAAGCAGCTGAGAAATGTCATAAAGATTCTCTATCAACAGTCGTTGGATCTTGTTCTTGGGGAAAACGCGTAGATGTTGGAACAGGTTCAAAGTTTGAGCTTCTATGGAACAAAAAAGAGGTAAGACATTCTCACCAATATCATACCAGTTCTGAGTTTATCTTATAAATTTTGTTCCTGCAATCTGATGTTGGTTGTTTTTCAACCTATCTGCAGACTGGTCTGGAGAATGATGATGAAAAAACTGATGTATTCAGCTTTCTCCAGATGGTAAGATCCACCAAAACTGGAGAGGCCTACGTTTCTTCCCCTGGCTTTGATGTTACAGAGGAAGAAATGGCTGAATGGGCTGAATCGCCCGAGCGAGACTCTGCTCTTGGAGAGCCCAAGTTTGATGACAGTGCCGAGTTCCAAAATCTACTTGATGAAGGCAAGACATCGGAATCCACATGGGAAAAGAATTCTGTATGGGAAAATGGTAATAGTGGCTCAGGATGGGGAGTCTCGAAAAGTACTGGTGGTGAGGAAAACGAACAGTCTGGCTGGGGAAAGGCTGCAAACGTTGAGAATGAAGATGCTTCGTCTGGTTGGAACACTAAAAAAGTTGCTCAAGAATCATCCAAGTCAGATTCATGGGGCGCTTGGGGATCAAAGGCAAAAGATGATGCTGAAACGGCAACACCAAGCTGGGAAACAAGACCAGCTCAAAATGATACTGTTGTCGTTGAAAACAGTGAGCCTTCTTCTGGTGTTTGGGGGAAAAAGAACTCTGAAACTGAGCCAGCTCCTGCTGCATGGGGTTCATGGGGTAAAAAGAACCCTGAAACTGAATCAGATGGTCCTGCTTGGGGTTCTAGTGACAAAAAGAACCAGGGGACAGAATCGGATGCTGCTGTTTGGGGATCTACTGACAAAAAGAACCCTGAAAGTGAATCAAATGCTGCTGCTTGGGGTTCTGGAACTAAAGCGAACAAAGAAACGGAATCAGCTCCTGCTGCATGGGGTTCCTGGGGGAAAAAGAGCTCAGAAACTGTATCAGGTGGTGCGGATTGGGGTTCTAGGGGCAAACGGGTTTCTGAAACTGAATCAGGTGGTGGTGTTTGGGCTTCCCGGAACCAGAGCTTAGAAACTCAGTCAGGTGGTGCTACTTGGGGTTCTAGGGATAAATCTAAATTTGGAACTGAATCAGGTGGTTCTGCTTGGGGCTCGCAGGCCAAAAACAATTCTGAGACTGAGTCAAGCTCAGGTGCTTCTACTTGGGGTACTTGGGACAAGAAGAAATCAGAAACTCAATCAGGTGGTGCTGCTGCTTGGGGTTCTCAGGCTAAAAACAATACTGAAACTGGGCCAGGCGCAGGTGGTGCTGCTTGGGGTACTTGGGACAAGAAGAAACCAGAAACTGAATCAGGTCGTGCTGCTTGGGGTTCTCAGGCTAAAAACAATACTGAAACTGGGCCAGGCGCAGGTGGTGCTGCTTGGGGTACTTGGGACAAGAAGAAACCAGAAACTGAATCAGGTGCTGCTGCTTGGGGTACTTGGGACAAGAAGAAATCAGAAACCGAATCAGGTGGTGCTGCTTGGGGTTCTCAGCCCAAAAATAACTCTGAAACTGAGTCAGGCGCAGGTGCTTGGGGCAAGAAGAAAGCAGAAACTGATTCAGGTCCTGCTGCTTGGGGGTCCCGGGACAACAAGAACTCTGAAAGTCAATTAGGTGCTGCTAATTGGGGTTCTAAGGACACAAGTAACTCGGCAAATGGATCAGATTCTGCTGCTTGGGGTAAAAAGAAGAATTCTGAAGCTGAACCAGGTTCTGTTGGTTGGGGTTCTTGGGGACAACCAAGTCCCACTGCTTCGGACAAGGACGCCCAAGAAGATGATGGAAACCCATGGGTATCTTTAAAGTCGATCAATAAGGCAGAGAAGGATGGGAATGAGACAAGCCAGTGGGGAGTTCCAAACAAGAGATATCCATCTACTGGCTCACAGGGTGGCTTGTCCAGTGGTGGTGGCGCAGACTGGAAGAGGAACCGTCCTCCTAGGACCCCTGGATCTGAGAGTATTATGGGTCCCATGTTCACAGCAACAAGACAGCGCATAGACATGTTCACCTCTGAGGAGCAAGAGCTTCTCTCAGATGTTGATCCAGTCATGAGAAGACTCAGGAGAATAATGCATCAGTCCGGGTATGCCTTTCTAATTCTTAATCTCAGTTTATACAGTTTCCATATATATATGTTAGGCTTCATCTTTGTAAAACTGTTGTTTCGATGAAGGTACACTGATGGTGAACCAATCTCGGATGAAGACAAGAAGTATGTCCTTGAGCAGATCTTGAATTACCATCCAGACAAAGATGCTAAGCTCGGTTCCGGCCTTGATTTCATCACGGTAAATAGCTTTCACCTACAAGCTGAGCGTCTCTCTTCTTAAAGCTTTTACTTAGCCTTATAGGTCTGATGCGAAAAAAATCTTTGGTGGGAACAATGTAGGTTGATAAGCACACAACGTTCACAGAGTCCAGGTGCTTCTTTGCTGTCTCGACTGATGGGACCAAACAGGACTTCTCATACAGGAAGTGCATCAACAACTATCTGGTGGAGAAGTTCCCAACCCTAGCTGAAGAGTTCATTCAAAAGTACTTCAGAAAGAGGGATGAGGCCAACAGAGAAAGGAACAGCCAAGATGCCACACCACCTGGGGAAAAAGAGTCTCAGACTACTCAGCCTCTTGGTAATGGAAGCCAAGACTCTCAGCCTCAGCCTATTGGTAGTGAAGGTGGCGACACTCAGGCTCAGTCTCAAGTTGAAGACACTCAGCCTATTGGTAATGGAGTTGAAGAGACTCAGGCTTAGGTTTAGGCTCAGTCTTTTGGTAGGAAAGGTATCACCCACTCTTTTGTTTTGAGATGTACATAAAGAGTGGAGAGGATGCAGGTTTTTTATCCACTAGGAAACTCTGATGTGAACTGCAAAACAATGTGTAAACGCAGTTCTCTTTTGTCTGAAAATAAGTCTTAGGTTTCGGTCCGTGACTGGTTTGTATTGGAGTCTTTGCAGGATTGTAAAGCTCTAGTGTTAGTACTTTGGCATTGACTACTTATTGAAGTTATAACAATGCATTAGCCATCTAAACTCCTTGTCTGACTTGATGCTATGTCCTCTCATATTGACTTTTAAATTGCCTCCAAACCAAATCAATCGTTGACCATAATCTATACTAATAAAAGTAGTCTTTTGAGGTTCAAAGAGCGTTCACATTAGCTTAAAAAGTAAAAACTTACATGACACATGGCATCACTAATATTATTATTTTATTATGTTTAGTTTTATATTTTTGAAATATTGATATAATGTATAGTTTTACATTTTAATATTACTGATATATATAATTTCGAAAATAATAATTAATATGTAAATATACAATATTATAAATGAAAATACTACGTTAAACATATGTAAGATTACCATGATATATATAATTTCGAAAAAATATAAATATAAAACATTAAAAAATGGAAATACTACATTAAACATATGTAAGGATACCATTTTTCATTTTTAAGAAAATAATATGAAAATATTGATAATATTATTACCTTATTATGTTTAGTTTTACATTTTCAAAATATTTATAAAATGTATAGTTTTACATTTTAATATATAATATAAGAATTATATATATAATAATAAAAAATACACAATTTAAAAAATGAAAAAAGTACATTAAGCATTGAACATCTATCTTAATGAAATATATATATATATTATTAAGTAAATATAGAATATACGAAAATAATATTAATAAGAAACTACACAATTAAAAAATGGAAAGTGCATTAATTATTAAACATCTATCTTAAAATGTAAAATATAGATATTAAATAAATATATAATATACAAAATAATAATAATAAGTAACTACACAATTAAAAATGGAAAATGTACATTAACCATTAAACATCTATCTTAAAATGTAAAATATAGATATAATAATTAGTATAATATTTTCATTATCACAATTTTATAATTTCATTATATGATTTTATTATCCTTATCTATTAAAATAGAAGTCATGACTTCATTCATGTGTGATTTTTTTTTTTTATTTGGACCATCAATTAGAAATTTTATTAACTATCTATACTATTAAAAGTGAAGGCACCCTTGAAAAATCAACTGATGAAAGTTGTTTGCAACCTCATTAATGGTATTTTGGTAAAGAGATATTTTTTAAAATCGTCTAAATATTCCTCGAAAGAGATATTTTTTAAAATCGTCTTATTCCTCGAAAGAGATATTTTTTAAAATCGTCTAAATATTCTGCCCCACATTTGCATAACCTAAATGTATATCATCCCTACCTATTATAAATATAACCTCTGTTAACCATTATATTTATCATTCCTTGAAAAACCTATAACAAAAATGGCGAATAATTTGTTGTTGTCTTTCTTGAGCGATATAAAACCAAGGGAGACTGCATGTCGCATCCAAGTCAAAATCCTTCATACATGGAGACATTTCATGAAAGACATAGGTGAGAGACCATGGAACTAATTCTATGTGATGCAAATGTAAGTTTATCATTATATATAGAATTATGATTTAGATATCTTCATTTCGTAATTTTTATATATTTAATATAAAATATTTAGGCCTATAAACATATTGATTTATAACTTGATATGCAATTCTAATAGTGATCAGAGATTAGCTTGATATCTTTGGGGTAATTTTGCTGAGAATCTTCATACATGTAATAAACAGTAGGCATGGTGATATGTCTTCTACGATTTGCTAAGATTGGGCAATATAGAGGTATTCCTTGAAAATGAAAACTTATGTTTCGATTTTGTACTAAATGACCATTGTTTATATAGTTGGAAATATGTTTCTACTAACTCAATGTTTTGATTATTCCTTTATTTTTCTGTTTTATGTTAGAAGAAATTATTCAAATGCTTATGATGTAAGTAGGACTGGGAATCTGAGTCATCACCCACGGGTCTCACCCCGTTTGACCCGCTGCGGGGCGGGTCAAACAATTTGAAAAAATTGATTGGCGGTTGCGGGTTATGAGTATTTTATGCGGGGCGGGTGTATGTTGGTGGATTTTGAATCGCGGATACCCGCCAACCCGCAATTTTTTTAATTGTTTTTTTGTTAGAAAAAGTGTTTTTTTGTAAAAATTAAATATTTTTAAAAATACGGTGATCTTAAAAAAATAAGAATTAAAATTTTTTTAAAATATAATTTTTATTAAAAATTATTTTTAATAAAAATTATATTAAATAATTATTATTTTTTAAAAAAGAATTATAAAATTTAAAATATATCATTTTTATTATTTTTTAATGAAAAGACCCTATTAAAAGGTTAAATATACATCAAATTTCACATATAAAACTATCATATAATAGAAATCGAATCATTTGATACATTTTGTTACAACCAAAACAAAACCCGCGCTTCTCAAGCGCGGATCAAAACCTAAACAACTTTGTTTGTAAATGTGGTTGAATCCTCTGTGGTTGAATTCATGTACTACTCTTTGGTTAATATAACAATAAAAAGGAAAACTTCTAGAAAACAATAGATTATGTTCCTACATCAGTTTTTCTCCACCTGCCTTTCTTTTTTGTTCTTTCCCATTCGTAGGAGCAGTTTCTGCCTCAACAGACATATCAAAGTCTATCTGTTCATTCTCGGAATCTGTAGTATCCTGTGAACTACTGTCAAAGTCAAATTCATCATCGATTTCTTCAAGTATACCTGTCATTACAACCCAGTGATATATCAGAGCACTGAGACAATGGTCGAGATTGCGTTTCTGTATTATAATATACCGAGTATCATATAACCTTGATCATCTACATTGTAGTCATCCATTTCTGTGTCATCATATAACCTGAGGGGTTGAGTGCGTAGCTTCTTTATCATTTCCCAAGGCAGAGGATATGTTTATAATGTCTTTTAAAACATTCTGTGAATTCTTCCTTAGTTTCTTTGCTATTCCAATATTTCTCTGTGCCTTTGCTATCTGTTTCTTTGCTACTCCTAAATTATTATTTTTTGCTCCAGAGTTGTTGGCCCTTTTTAACATATATGAAAGGAAAATAATGGAAATTAGAGTCCCTTAATCAATATTGACAGCTAAACTAGATCAGCTTAAAATACACTTACTTGATAGTGTTGTCAAACAACTCCTTGGTTCTGGAGAGTTGAACAAAACGTTTGACATCAAATCCAGACCTGTAAGTTTATAAAAGTAATATATCAACAAAAACACTTGACTGCATCTATTGTGTTTTTTGAGTGCACAATCACTGAATATTAGCTACAAATGAAGAAATTAAAACAATCACCTAGACTGCATTTCCGTCTGTTTGCAGTGCTTATAGGTGTGTATGATGCTTCTTGTACTGAAGAACCGATATAGTTCTTAGATGCATCCTTACCGATACCATCATATAATCTCTTATAGACTGCTGTTACAGGAACCAACGGATGCACAGTCACACGCTTGTAGGATGCTTTTTTTTCTTATATTTCGGCCGAGCTGAGAGAACTCGGATATGTTGATTTCAGTATGATCCTTTATTTTTCTTCTCATTTTGCTTTTGCTCGCTTAAACCAACCACTCTGTAGAGAGATGTAGAGAGCAAAATAGTAAAAGGGTTCCACGCTTGTTTGGTCCTTTGTGAAAAAATATCAAAAGGTATCCCATTGATTTAGATGTTTAGTTATCAAGCTATCCCTACTTGGTAAATGAATAATCATTAAACCACATGATTTTGGGAGGCATCTCTTTTTATGGTTTCCCTTTGATTAAAATTTTTAAAACCCAGCTAAATCTCTTTTTTTTTCTTGCTTCGGTGTAGTTCCAATTTACTGTGGCGTCTCAGCCTTTTTATTAAAACTATAGGCTATATATTGAATATTTATTGGTTGTATAACTCATTTAGGATATGGTCTACATAGGATATATTTCTTAGTGAGACAGTATTTATTTGCCGTAAATTGCATGATGTGTTTGCAGCTGTGTAGTTCAATACTCTAATGTTTCATACGTCTGCACTTTCAGAGATGATGGAGGATGCTTACACTGCTATTAGTTGATGCAATTCACGCAAAAAAATGGACATTAACAATATGATCATGCACCATCATATTATAACTAAATGTATGTTCTTAAAATTATGCCTCACTTGTAATTACCAATTTCTGCCTTTCATTTATGTTTTGAAGAATAGATTTATTTAATGCAAAACAGAATAGTCCAAATAGAACAAAATACCAAATAAAAACACCAGCAAATGAAAAAAGCAACACGTCAAAATCAGTTTAGATTCTCCAGCTTGATTGCATCAGGGCACAACTTCTTAGTGGCCAAGGTCACATCAGGTAGATCATCTTTATCCTTTCGCTTAGAGAATGGAGTTGTCGCATCTTCAGCACAATTATGTTAATTAGGATCAAACATTGAAACCTGTAGAACAATATAATTAATTTCTTAGTCAGTCTTAGCAGAAAGAATATAGCAAACATGCTACTTGATTTGATAAATAGCATGGTACATACCTCTCCACCAGAGAAGGTTGACGAAGCAGACTCAATAAGAGAAACTGGAGCAGTTTGAGATTCGATTTTATGAATCTCTTCACCGGCCCTTACTTCTGCCACCAAGTAAGTGTCTGCTCCGTTCGTGACATTGTCTGAGCTCATCGAAATACCGAAACAAAATGATTTCCCAACTAAATTCTGGATTGGTTCAGGGAGATCCTTTGGATCTTCAATCTAATACATAAACATAGAAAAATAAAGATCAGTTATTTGTTTTTTTCTAAAATTTGTAGAATTAATAAACTTAGTAAAATACACTTGCCTCATCGTATGAGCCATTCCAAAGCTCCACAGCTTCCTTACCAATAACAGTTTTTCCAACAGAGTCAAGCAACATTAGTTTGCATGTGGCGCTGTCATCTGCCACATACACATGAAGCTTATACCTAACATTTGAGTGTGAAAAATTAGTAATATATTTAGCTTGACCCCGAAAAAATAGTTTAGAAGAATAATTTACACTTACTTTGGAGACACATTGGTGACATTAGTGTGACATTTCTCACAACGCCATAAAGGTTTTTCATTTTTCGCAATTCCTCTGGGCTCATTTCTACCGATCCTAGTAACACGGCGGTTGCATCCATTTGCATCATAATTCATGTCCAAAAAAAACCAACCCCAGTCTGTGTTAATTGATTTGATGGAGCATACAATTTTGCTGCGCCTAGACAATTTAAAAAACACAATCTTATAGTACTCAGCCCTAACTAAGATCACTAATCCATAACATCACTTATGAGACAATTTTAAAATAACCTCAACAGCCACCAAGATCTCAGAAATTGAACAGACTTGAACATCATCCCAATCTTCTGCTTTCTGCTTCACTGCCTTGTAATCCGGTTTGTTTTCCACAATAGCAAGAGGAAGCTCGGCTTGCAACATCCTGAATTATGTTAATGTACAAATTATCAAACAAACAAACTAAAAGAGTGCAAAATTTGGATCTAAATGCACCTTTCTTTAAAATCAACTGCTTCTTGCACTTGGTTGAGAGTCACAAGGGAAGCATCAAATGCATTTGTTATTTGCATATTTCCTATGCAACAATAAACTTGTTACTGTAAGCTTCAGTTTTCATATAGTCAAACACGAATTAATTTTAAAATTATAGATAAATGTTTATACCTTTGTAGTAGCCGATTTTAGCAAACCTAATCAAACAAATAATTGGTTGCCCTTCATTCTCTTGAAGATGAGATTCAATAAGTTCTGCGAATTTCCCCCACAGAAAACACTCCATGTCTCTCCCACTTGAATTAAAAATAGACAATTAAAAAAGTCGACTATATTCTTTTTTATTTTGAAACACTTTTTTTTTGAAACACAGTCGACTATATTCTTATACAGTATAAAAGATAACAAAATATTACTTACTTTGTGTCACGTAGTATATAGTGCGCATATAAAAAAATCAAAGATTTCACCAAGGACATCTGTTCCAAAATATTGCTGAATAGTTTATAATCAGTGCAAAAGCATGGACTAATATAAGGAAAAAATCAAACGAATATCATACCAATTAGGAAGTGAGGATTCAATTTTCCCTCAGTGATATCCTCGTAACTCGCAAGATCAAGGAAGTGATTGTTGTTTTGGAAATCAGATTTCCATATCTTTGTGTTACCACTGATTGTCATCTTGTACTGCAGGTTTGTTGGTCGATACTGCCCACCAGCCTGGGATACCGTGAAGTTTTCAACAAATCGCCATTCTCCAATGGGTAAGCCTTGCTGAACCCGGAACATTTGACTTCTTTTGCATGAAGCATGAATCTTACCACCCTGTGAGCAGGAGAAACGGAGTATTAGAGTATGTTCAGTATTGTAATCTAGATAAATATACGTGTGAAAATAATTTCTTACTGTTTCATATGCACGCACTCAAGTGTTTCTCCTCCAAAGTTCTGCTTCCGCGAATGAAGCATCTTCACACGTACTCTTCACCCGGTTTTGTATGGCTTTACATCCTTAAGCAGGTTACAACTCGCGTCCCTCGACATTTCTTGGGGTGATTTTATATTTGGTGATGGGTTGAGAATGAAGAATTTGAGTCGCAGAGGGATAGCTATATATATGCTCACAAAAATTGGTGAGCACGTTAAATATCACAAGGAAAATCTAACCATTAAGATATTTCTTGATTCTATGGTTGATATATATATTTTGATATATTCCTTTTCATTTTACGAAACACATCAATATATTGTTATATTTGTTTTTATTATGAAAATAATTATAAACTAATCATTTTATATAAGCAAAATTCTTCATTCTAGATCGTATTATATCTAGATTTTGACCGCGCGGTATTATCTGTTAAAAAATATTGTCGCCAAAACAATAAAATATATTTTTGTGAAACTCACAAATTGTGTGTTTCGCCAAAACCGCAAAAATAAACTTCTAGTCAAACCCTCAAAATCATGTTCTTCTACAACAATACAAAATACATTTGAGATATATTTATTTGAACATTAAAATTGGCTAAGAATAAAAATCATGTTCTTTTTGTATTTGAACTACTAGTATTCAAATGCTATTATAAAATCAAAAACAAAAAACTTAACATCTAGAAGTTGCATCTGAATGTAAATACTAACTACAAAAATGAACAACATCTGAATGTAATATCTAGATGTTGTATTCATATAAGACATCTAGATAATGTATCAAATACAAAAAAAAAAATGGCCTAAAATTAAGGGCTTATTGGCGAGATAGCTATGTTTGAGTGGTAAATTAAGTAAGTAGATATGATTTTGACATAATGTATTGTCAGACTTTTTGTCTTCTTTTTATCCGGTTATGTCCCCTGCAAGAAAAATGTTACCAGTTGCATATTATAAAACAAACGACGTGTTCGTTTTCTGTGGTATATTGCAATCACATAATTCACGAAACGCGTGGAAGAAATTTATTCAACATATATAATGTGTTTTTCATTCTGTATGGAACAGAAAAGGTGACAAACAAACTATTCTATCTAGGTTGCACATATACTATTTTATTTATGTGACATAGTACATCACTCAAACCGTTATTGAGAACTAGACATATAAAACCAACCACAACACCTAAATGATAAGTTCACTTAACCCAATCTTCAACCCCCACCTTCGAAATACTAAACCCTAAATCCTAATCACTAAACCTTAAACCCAAATATAGACCCTATACCCAAATAGAATGGAACAAAATAGATAGAATAATCTATATTGGTGAACAAAATAGAACACTCTTTATTAATCATCAAATGGAACGATACATGATAGGTTCACTAAACTCAATCCTCAACCCCACCTTCCAAATACTAAACCCTAAATCCTAATTACTAAACCCAAATATAGACCCTAAACCCAAATATAATGGAACAAAATAGATAGAATAGTACATATTGGTGAGTAAAATAGAATGGAACATGATATTTACATTTCTATTTTATATGCATATAATAGAATAGAATACAATAACTGTTCATCTTCTTCCACATACAATAAAAATTTCCTGTAAATTCAGATACGTACAGTTTTGGTGTCTCCGCTACTGTTGCTTTTAAAATATGAGAATCCTCTCATTTCCGTCACCGACAAAGCTTCCTAAACCGTTCTCCTCCTCCACAAAATTTTCTGACAACGTCTTCGTCGCTCAAATCTATTTTGAAAGAATTTATTCACTTTTTCAAATATTAACAATGAAAAACTTATTTTGTTAGTGTGTGTGAGCAACAAAGAACCACGTAATATGTTTCATAATCAATAATTATTCATTAATTTTTTGTTTCTTTGCAGGTTCTACCGGTGAAAAGGAAGGCTAATACAGTATTATTATATAAATATAACAGTGTGTATAGAACTGTTAGGGAAATTGAATATTTGGTGAATTTCATTTTTTTTTTCTATGCTATACAGCCCAATTCCTCTAAAATTAATTGTTATATGGATGTAGTAGTACATATGAAAATGAAGGAATTAGGTAATGCAATGCTGGAGTTGGATAAACTTTTTAATTTAAATATATATACATATATCATATTCCACTTCGGTGACTCCCTCTGCCCCTAGCTTGTAGCTGCTATCTCAGTTGCCTTTTTAGAAGGTTTTACATGCATATTATAACGACCTACTTCCGGAGGTTTTAATTTTAAAATAAATAGACCATGAAAGATTTTTCTACAAATGAATTCTTTCTGTAAGTGTTTCTGTAGAAACACTTGTTCTCTTATATGGATGGAGCTGAAACAAATGTGGTCAAAGGAAGTATTCGATTAGAGAGGAAATAAAATCAAAAGCTTACGTTCTCTGATCAGGTGGTTATTGTCTTGCCTCTTGCTGCTCACATTAGCGTCAAACCAAGGAAGATTACAAAGCGGTCAAGTTGTTGTTGTTTATTTCTTTGTGTTTCAAATAAAACCTCAAATTGTGTACAATAACTGTTTCAGTGTCAAAAGTCAAAACGAGTTCGTTATATAGTATTGTAATTGGGAATTATCGATACACTAATTAATTTGCAACTAGCTGATAAAAGAGATTACCTTGCCGGCCACAGTATACGACAAGAATTAAATAAAATCGTCAACCACGAAATGTTATTTGATCAGTCGAAACAAACATGGAGAGGGGGAACTGAAAACCTTGAAATTCATTACTAAAAGAAACAATAACAATTCATATTCCTGACATTGTACCATGAATCTGAAAAGGTCGGATTAAATGCACATAATGTAGAAATATCCTGTATTTGCCGGTTGATGAAGAACTTATTATCTGCCAGCTGGAAAATAGAAATGTCAAAAATATAAATTGTTCTCCTGTTCGATTCCAACTTGGTTTTAAGATACTACGAGACAGCTCAATCATGGAGATATAACATACATAAAAAGGTGTCTGCATATATATGTTCATTAGTTGAAAATTTTGCTCCCACCATGGCTTCTGATTCGCTTTTTCTTCTCTTTTTTCTTTCTCTCATAACCCTCTCTAAAGCGAGTAAGTAAACTATCTACTAACTTATAATTATTCTCTTGTTTATCTATAAGTACATAGAGTATTTTCAGTCTTACGTATTGTAAGTTCTTTCTGAAAACCCAACTAGGTTAGCTTAGTAGTACCAAAAGTCGTCGATTTAATCGTTAATTTGAACACCTTGGTGTAGATCCATCCACATGATCGATTAAAGGGTCCTTCGTGTTTTATTATCGTCGACTTGTGTCTTTTGCATATGATGTGGTTTCCGATAAACTCTTACAAACGACTTTTGTTGTTATATGGTCACAACTCACAAAGATCTTTAGCGACCGTGTGAACTTTTCTGAAACCCCATCACATATTAAGCGTGAAACAAATGTCTTACTCTTATTTCTTATTGATCGAGTCATCGAGTATATGACATTTTAGGTGTTTAATAAATGATTATTTATCAGAATTTTTTTACTATAGATTAATTTATGCAAAAATATATATTTTACGCTAGCTTCTAAATTCACGTTATCTACAACGGAAATTTCAAGGCAACCAAATATTTAAGATTAAACAAATTATTAAATAGATCAATAATAGTCTACATTTATACAATGGGTTTATTACTGAATTACACAATGTTGTTACGTTGTTATAGCACATAGCATTACATTATTTGACCTCAAAGTTGCACGCACGATCAATTTCAGGTGTAAACATAGACTGTGGAACGTCATTAACAGGCGTAGACGACAACAACATAAAATGGGTCGGGGACAAAGACTTTATCACATCCGGAGAATCAGCCACGGTTTCCTCCACCGAGAAATCCCTCACCACACTCCGGTACTTTCCCACGGGCGAATCCAACTGCTATAAAATTCCGGTAACAAAAGGCAGAAAAATCCTAATGCGAACCATATTTTACTATGGAAACTATGACGGGAAGTCTTCATCCCCAACCTTCAGCGTAGTGTTCGAAGGGAAACATCGAGGCACCGTATCGATATCTTCGTTACTCGAACCTTACGTTTTGGAGCTGATATATGCCCCGGCCAGCGGAGAGACAAGCGTTTGTTTTGTACGTACCTCTTCGTCATCAAACCCATTTGTATCCTCCATTGAAGTCGCTGACTTGGCCGCTGGCATGTATGACGAACTTGGTCCCGATGAAGGTTTATTTTACCAACAACGAGTTGCGTATGGCACAACAGAGTTTCTACGGTAATTAGCATTATCCAGTTACTTGTGTAAGTAAGATAAATATTGTTGAGTTCCATGGGCAGTGAGTAGATTGACATATATCCTCAATACCCTAGATTGTTTTCTAGTTTTTATTCAGAATCCCAGCAAAATACCTTTAGTTACATTTTTCTTTTAGTTTTGTGTGCATAATTAAAATGTGTTTTATCAAATTAAATGATAACCTCAAAAATGCTTGTAAAATACATGTAAATAGATGAAGAAACTTTTTCAAAACAAATGTATAAAAAACGATTTTTAATTTAGTACTAGGATAAGACCTGCGCCTTGCGCATGGTGAATATATATAATTAAAATATAAAATTTTAGTATTGACCAATATAAAATTTATATATGATTGTTTTTACATGTATTTGAAATTTTAGAATTTTAGAATTTTTATATAATTATTTATACATAGGATCAGAAACAATTTTAATTAGAATTATAGATCAAATCTTAGAATTTAATGGACTTGATTTCATATATCTTTTCACTTTTCAGTGTTAGCAAGTTTCCTAATGTTTTTGTAAGAAACAGTTGGTAAAATACTTGCATTTAAAATCTATAAAGTTTCAAAACTAATTTAATATAATTTATTTATTTTTATAATAATATTAGAAAACTATATTTTTTTACAATTTTTATTAATTTTATAAAAAATTAAGTTAAATTTTAAATTATTTTAAAAACAATATTTTAAGTTTTTCAAATACAAATAAACAATTTAAAATTAGTTATGGTTATGATTTAACATAACCATAATGATATAAAACAAAAATTAACAAATTAAAAATTAACTCAGTTTTTATCATGATTTAATAATTTAAAAATTAATTATGGTTATGAGAAGCTTACATTCACGTGTCAATCCTATTTATCTTTTTTTTCTCTTGTT